AAGTTGGCATTACAATTGATTTTAGATGCATAATTTGGACCAACATTAACAAAATACGAATTAAACTTCTCAGCAATATCCCTACCCTCTGTCACAAATTCATCTGGGTTAGTACTCACTCTAAGTTTATGTGGAAAACGATCATTACATGACTGATTATTCCGCAGTTCGTTTATAACCTGCCATGTTTTATTGCTAATAACAATCGAGTTGTTCAGAAAAAGAATGAGAGCCGGAACAAATTCTTCATCATATGAATAAATTAGTGCTTCGGCACACAAACCAAACGGCCTTTTTTAGGGCCACCACATCCTCCATAAAGAGAACTACCGTTATTACTGTGGATTCTGTCCAAAATGCAATAGACACTTCTCACGTAAGAAACACATTGCAAGATGCAAACGAATAAAGAAATACAATGCTAAAATGGCTAAAAATAAACGGTTGGTTGATCAACCTCGGTTGGTCTCAGGTTTTATTTAGAATTTTTCGAGTAGAATTCTGACCCCAACAGAGATCATTGCCCTTGGCAACGGACTCAAATTTATACCAACCCCACCTAAGCCAATCTATCACACTTTGCTCAATGACATGTCTATGCTATTATCAGGGGGAAAATCTTCTACTCTCGGGTTCTCCACACTTGTCAGGGGGGGAACTCGTCTCGTCTCTATATCTCGTTTGAGGTGCGGGATCGGGAAAGTCACTTTAACTTTACAGTCAAATAAGACACACACAACGGAATACGTTTCAGCTCTCGTCTTAGTCGGTCAATCGAGCACTCTTTAAGACACAGCGCCCTATGGAAAAAATCCCCAAGACTATCGCAAGGCTGACCCAAGACTCTCTTAGACTGCGTCAACGCTCGCCCCAAGGCTCTCCAGGACTGCCCTCGGCTCTGACTGCGTCTATCGTGGAGTATTCTTCAAGACCAACTCAAAACTCTCTTTATTCATTTTCAAAACTCTAACCAATTACAAAACAGTAAAAGACTCTAGGGCGTAACCTTCAATCATAAAGCCAATCACACTAAGCACTGAATACGTCATATCTTTTGATTAATCGTTCACTACATTAATAACTATGGATATCAACTGTCAAAATGAGTAGTCTAAATAGCGGTGGTTATCTGGTAATTAGTTCCAAATCACTGAGCCAAGTTCCGTCCAAAACTTCAAATAGGCCTAAACGATGACAGACATAACACAGCAATTCAGTTAATAATCAACTAATTAAGTCGATTAACAGATACGCAAAAAACAAATTCATGACACTATCTAGGAGAATGCGTATCAAATATTTAATGCGCAATAAACAATCTCAACAACATCCTTTCAAAATGAAATCAACATGGAACCCACCAGACTCGAATAACAGTAGCCTCGAAAATTACATTGAGGCAACTAAAGTTGAGATATCCAAAATCACTACCAATAAACCCAAACAAAACATGACTTCTGCCGAAAGAGCAGCAATACATAGATTACATCATGATAACACAATTGTAATAAAACCATTCGACAATGGTCGTGGTATTGCAATCATGAATACAACTGACTATATATATGAAAGCCTTCGTCAATTAAACAACGAACAATACTACACTAAAATTGGTGGTAACGATACTATAGTCAAAGCTAATTTGGTCCATGAGCTCGTTACAGAAATATACAATCTGGATTTAATCAATTACGACACGTATAGATATACAGACCCATTTTACTACACAGTTAGAACGCCCCGGTGGTATTTACTGCCTAAAGTACACAAACCACCACCAGAGGGCAGTATATTTGTCGGTAGACCGATAATCAGTGGTTGCTCTGGTCCCACAGAGAAAATATCGGAATTGATTGACCACTTTTAATTCCAATCGTCAATAGCCAACATACTTATATCAAAGATACTACAGATTTTATTAACAAAATCGAAAATATACAAGTATCTGATAATAACGTCCTAGTAACCTTGGATGTCGTATCAATGTATACTGATACTGTTCACGAAGAAGCGATTGCCGACATTACATTCCGCCTACTGAAAAATCAGATTTTACTATTTGGTGCTCGTTATATTATAACATGGTATCGTTTTCGAGATGACATTTTCATGGTATTCAATGGTATCATACCTGAATTACACAAATTTGTTCAGGATGCTAATATGCTTCATGATAAATACCGGCTCACATTTTAATACTCAATGACACAAGTCACGTACCTTGACCTTGACCTATATAAAGGACAACGCTTCCTTGATCTGAATATACTAGACGTGAAAACGCATACCAAGACAACGGAAACGTTTCAATATTTGAAACGTAATTCCTGTCACCCTACATCAGTATTCCAAGGTTTTATTAAAGGCGAAACTATTCGGTATGCTCGTACACGTGATAATGTAAACGATTTCTTACATAA